TTTCTTCTTTGACTTAATTATCTCTACATTCTATGTTTTAATTTGCAGACCTTTGCTTGCTTATTTTCTGTATTCCACAAGTTCAGTCTTCGCTCCTTGGAGGCGAGAGAGGGATTTGTTCTCTGTGCTCCCTGCTGTGTCATGTATATTTAGCCTGAGTCTGGCACTCAGTAGATGCTCAGTCAATATTGAATGATTGCATGTCTGGCTAACGAGTGTGAATTTTTTTAATCAAGCTGGTCATCTGGAGGTCCCAAAGATAGGCATGTGACACATGCCAGCCCTGATGTAATGATCAGTGTGGGATGTGTTTAGACACTGAGAATTAGAATCAGAATCAGTCTTATCTTTGAACATGAATCTTGTTTTATTTAATCATGTTTTCTGTCTCTAAGAAATTGGGTCTCTGATTTCTCAGGTGATTAAGTTCATCATGACACAAGAAAAGTCAGTGTCATGGGAATATGGAGTGGCCAGGAATAAAGCAGCCAGAAAGCAAAATGCCAGCTGGTTCACGTGCTCGCCACACGTTGATTGGGGCTTGACTGTCGAGGGGTGAATGCAGTTCGCCCCTCCTGTTCTCTGAGCAGACTCTGAAACCCCTGTGGATTCACCTGTCTCTCAGCAAACCCCGAGAGTCTCAGCTTCTGAAGTCAAGAGGCATCCACTTCTGTTCTTGCTATGATCAGCTGGTTTTGGGATTTGTGAGTCAGGACTTGAGAGCAACCAGACTTAAATCAGAGAAGACTGCCTGGAGTTTGGTGAGCTGGTTTTAGGTGGCACATCAGCAATATGATTTGTTCTCCCCATAGTTGCATGTGGGTTTTGGTGTAGGAGGTGCCAAGAAGCTGATTTCAGCCCATGGTTTGCCCCTGACTGGCAGAGCTGACACCTTGGGCACATTGTTTATGTACTTTGTGGCTCTTTATGTTCATCTCTAATCTGGAAGATCTTGGACATTTGGAAAAGCAAAGTCAGACCCTCCTGTCCCTCTCGTTTGATAGAACCACTTGTTAAGAAGCAGAAAAGATGGACTTGCTTGAGTCCCTCAATGACCAGAGGTAGAAGTGAGCCATGCCCCAGGCCGTCTGACTTCTGTTCTATGTGCGTGGTACTGTGTACCTCTTCTCTTCCTTTCACCTTTCTCCCTGCCCTGGGAGAACAGTGAACCCAAGAACTGAGGACCTGCATTGGTCATCAGATGAACGTGTCTTGACCTACCTGTGTAACTTAGGCAAAGCAGTGCTCTGTGTTTGGAAATCAGTTCTCTGAATACCCCTCATCTTGTCTCATAACTGTCACAGCTTACCTGTGTGCAGTTCTTCCTTTTTAAACCCTGCAGAGCACTGTGGATGGAGCAGTGGTTCTCAGACCCTGGTCACTGGACCCGCAGCAACAGGATGGCTTGGATGCTGTCCTCCATCTTCCTAAATCCCTGGAGTTGGACCCTGGCAACAGATTCTGGTACTTTCCACCAGCAGGCCCTCCGGGTGATCCCCATCCACACTGTGTGTTGGAAGTCCCTTCCTCTGATGGCTGATAATCCGGTGCAGTGTGATGCCCCCATGGTACAGACCAGGCATGAAAGCTGGATGATGCTGAGCAGTCTCTCAGAGTTGTTCAGTAAGTGTTCACAAGCAACAGTGCACTCACTTGTTTAATCCTCATGGCAGCCTTGTGAGGTTACAGTATTATGCGTGCTTGTCCAGTGAGGCCAGAGACACAGGCGAGTTTATTTGTTGGGCCAGGACAAGGGACTTGACCTCCTATGCTAAGGCCATGCAATCTTTCTCCACACGTGCTGTGGGTTGAGTGGACCTTTGCAAAGCCCCTCTGGGGCCCACGTTTCAGTGGGTTCTCACCCTCTATCCTGCAGACTCTTTGGAAGACCCCAACAGTCAGGGTCTCTAATTTCCTTTGACAATCCCTAAGACCAACACCTGACACATCAGACAGCCCTGAGCATCCGTGTCATGAATCTGTCCTGCACAGTGTCAGAAATGAACCCTCATTACAGCTCTGCCTCAGCCTTCCCTAGGTCCCCATGTGTGGCTCACAGTGTGCTGAGCACTGTACCCCCGGTGAATACCTTCACAGTTTTCTTGCAAAGAGCTGCTGTGGTTCATGCTCCAAGAGCTTTGTAAGGCTCCTGATGATTTGTGCATAAGATGTATAAATTCTCAAATGTGTTGCATTGGTGCTCTTTCGCTCAGGGTTCAGCAAGTATCCATTAATATCGGAACACCTTGACTTTTCTCCCAGGCTGCAGGCTCAGTGGGATGTGAAAGAAAGGTCACTGGAGACCATTAGGTCCAAGCAGGTTACACGTTACACCCTCCAGGGATGAAGTGGCTTGGTGAAGTGCACAGGTGCAGGCGGGATGTGGTGGAACCAGCCAGGGAAGACGGTGCTCCCTGAGAGGGAGGTTAGGAGCCTTTTTTTTTACCCTCTGCAGGAGGGATCCCTGTCCCTGATGTGCCAGGCACTGTACCTGCAGTGGGACAGAGGGAGGTATTAGGTAAGCAGAGAGCTACAGCTTTGGGACAGACCCTCACAAAAGTTGGAGATTCTGCATGCTTGGATCCTGCCCATGCCTCCCTCAGCCAGCAACCAGGAGACAGAGGGAGCCGCCTGCACTTGATCCATAAAGTTCTGGCTCTCCGAACACTGAATGAGGTAGAGGATAGGAGAGAGCAGGTTTGGAGGGTCCCGAGAGACCACCACACCACTGTGTTTCTGGACTTGGTGTGTTGATCTGTAGTTACAAGTGTAGAGAGGAACGCTTAGTGGAGACGTGCAGTCATGTAGTCTGTCTGATGGAGTGTCCCTGTGCGTGGTCCCCTTGAGCCACCGAACAGCCTGCAAGCCTGGCCCACACAGCTTCCAAATCTGAGGTTATCCTGAAGAGACCACTTGTGGGGCTCTGCTCTTCCGAGAACTCCCATCCATGTTTTTCTCTCTCTCTCCCTGTACCTACTCCAACACCTCCCCCAGCCCACAGCAACCTTCCACACTGCTGTGTCTGTTTCCTGGGATGGCAGCCTCCCTCCCAGCCCCTGCCACTGCCGCGGCTCCAAATGATGAGTGTGTTCACGGTGGCAGGTGCGTCGGGTGAGACTAAAGCAATTAGAACGTCATGTAAAGTGTTTGGAAATGTGTGTATGCATGCTTGCATTTCATGGGCCCAATTAGAAAAGTCCCTGAACCTGAAGTCAGGATGCAGTTTGATGTCTCCAGGACTGTGTGTTTCAATATTTGGGATTCCGCAGAGCCTGATTCGGTGGGTTTCTCCCCGTCCTCATGCCCTCCCGGTTATGTCTCCTGTGTGTGACTGAGCCTCTTCCTGTTCATTTCCATCATGATTTAATGGATGGCAGCAGCGTCTGCATTACCACCGCTCACATAGAATACCCGGGAGATGCTGTCCAGAGCTGAGTGTTCGTGTCTTCAGCTCCCAGGTGGGGAAGTTAAGCTGAGCAGCAGCTAGGCTGGGAAAAGAAAGCAGCAGCACCCAGAGGACTCTGAATCCCCCTCACCTGCTCCGCCTCACGCTTGTTATAATGGGGTTGCCTAATGGCAGGTGTTCTTGACCTCCAGGGCAGAGGACCTTTATTGCGGGGTTCTCTTTTGCATCAGAGGATGGTCAGCTTTATTTGTGGCTTCTTACTAGATACCAGCAGGAAACCCAGCACCAGTTGTTACAACCAAGAATAGCCCTGAACGAAAGCAGTTGCCATCAGGGCTGTGGGAAGGGAGGTACATGCCTTCTGTCAGGAATCTCCAACAGGGCTTGGCGTGGTGGCACACTCTACCTGGCTGCCATTGCGATGTAAACATCCCACCTCATAAAACCACTTCACATCCTGGCCGCTCTCCTTCCGATCCAGCTCCCTGCTAATGTTCCTGCAAAGCAGCAGTGGGTGACTCAAATACTTGGGCTTTTGCCACCTGTGTGGGAAACCAGGCTCGAACCCTAGGCTCCTGGCTTCAGCCTTTGCCACTCCCAGCAGGTTGGCTGTTTGGGGAGTGAACCAGGGGCTGGGAGATGAATGTAGCTCTTTCTCCCTTACCCTGGCTTCCTTCCTCCCGACTCTCCTCTTCCAATAGATAAACAAATACTAAAATATTTGTTTAAAATATTCCCCTTTCAGCAGAATGGAGGTCCTGGTAGTTATTGGTGAACGCCAAGGGTAGAGAACAAACTTTTCAAACTCCTAGTGCATTTCTGATATAAGTCCAAGGTGAACATTCTGCCTTAGAGTTTGCAGGTCGGTTTTGTAAGCCTGCATTTTCTGGTCCCGGATACGACAGTGCTAACACTGTGCCTGTCTTCCGTCACCACGAGACTTACGTCTGGTGACTCTGTGACTTGTTAAGCTCAGGGACAGCAAGGTGGTAAATGCCTCATGAGCTCGCTCTTCTGGCTATGCTGGTGATTCCCCTCTGCTGTCCCCCTCGTCTTCCTTCTTGGTTCCTGGGGAGATTGCAGCTGCTGTGTGGGGCTAGGGATTGGTACTTGAAGGGTCGGGGCAATGCATGGTGGGAGTGGCCAGCAGAGTGAGGTGATGGTTCAGAGGGACTGCAGTAGAGGTCAGGCATGCTGGGGCCAGCAGCCCAGAAGACATGGGCCTCTCCAAGGACATAGGTATTGAGAAGATGAGAGCCTACACACCCTCCTTGAGAACATCTTTCTTTTCTCATGTGTCAGCTGTCACCATCATCGGCTCTCAGCTTTGGAACAAGGGACCCACTTTTTGACCAGTTGAAGTGATCGCCATTTCTCTCATTTCCAGAATGTAATTGAAAGAGCCTTAATGGCTTCCAAATGATGATGGCTCCATAAACCGATTAAAAAGACCTTAATAAAACCGTCTCAGTTACTTGATGTGGCCGCGGCGCGTGCCTTTTGTTTCTGAATGATCCCAACAGAAAAGCGGAGTGATTTTTCTTCCTTGTGTCCTCTCGCTTCCAACTGACCCTTTGCCCTCTCTTCCTCCCAGACAATCCACGTTGCCATCGTCTGCGCCGGGTACAACGCCAGCCGCGATGTCGTCACCTTGGTCAAGTCCGTCCTGTTTCACCGGTAAGAGCAGTGTTTGTCCTCCGAGGGCAGATGCGTGCCCTTCCCCACCCACACAGTCCCTTGGCGAGAGGTGAAGAACGGCAGGTCTCAGCCATCATTCCAGCTTCTGGAAAGATCCTGGGGAGGTTATTTGCTGATGGTGTTTTTTTGTGTATTTTGTTGTTGTTGTTTGCTTTGTAAGATGTATTTACTTATTTATTTGGAAGGTAGTGTGACAGAGAGGCAGGAACAGAGAGGGAGGAAAAATTTCCATCTGCTGATTCATTCCCCACATTCCCTCAGTAGCTGGGGCATAGATGCGGCTGAAGCCGAACTCCATCCTGGTGTCTTGACGTGGGTAACAGGGCACAAGTACTTGGGCCATCACCTGCTGTCTTCAGAAGCATCAGTAGGAAACTGGAGTGGAAGCTTGGAGTAGTCAAGACTTTAACCAGTGCCAAGGATGTGGCTGTCCTAAGACCGACTTTGACCCACAATACCTGGTCCTGTTAACAATGCTCAGTCGTGGCAATTCGATGTCATCTCGCCATGTGTGGAATCATTACCTATCTTACCAGAATCCTCTGCCAGCACTGCTTTAAGTCCTAGCTACTCCACTGCTTATCCAGCCCCCTGCTAGGGCACCTGGGAAGGCAGTGAAGGATGGCTCCGGTCCCACCTTCTCAAATGAAAGATGTGGATGCCTTGGCTCCCCACCAGCTACATAGTGGACCCTACCTGGTCCGCCTCATCAAACTGTCCACCTGCCCATCTTCAGCCTCCTCTCCCACCCCCAAACTGGGCTCCTACCTTTGACTTGAAGCGAGTACCCTTTGCTGGCAGGAAGTCCTCAGTCTGTGTGTTTTTCCATGATTCTATTTCTTATATATCCATGACAAAAACCATTGATGTCATTCTGTGTCTCTGGGATTAGCTGCAAATCAGTTGCCAGGTATTATCCATTCGGCTGATGTTTGCTGGTTTAGAGAATCTGGGTGTTTATGAATAAAGACCCCAGAGCTAAATTGATTCAACCAGTTTCTCAAAATGCCCAACCCCCAGTTTGTTCAGCTTCGCATTCACGCCACTGCCTTGCCTAGTACTTTTCAGCAAGTCACTCTAGATCTTAGGATTTCAGTCTTGATGTCAGTTTGCTTTTGCTGAGAATCTCTTCATCCACATGCATAACTTGCCTAAAGCATTCATTGATGAGGTAGTTGTTTCTGTTGAGCTCGCTCTCATGCTGGGTCCCCGTTTGTGACTACAGTCAGCTGACAGGTTAGCCAACTCTCCTGGAGTCAGATAAGAGGGTCCAGGAATGAGCAAACACATACCTCACAACCACACCTGGCAACAGGAACTGCCCCTTCAGTCTCATAGATCTCCCTGGTTGAAAGTATGACTTTACGTGTACCTTAGGAGAAAGTGGCAATGCAGTGACTACGATGGGTTTAGCCCTGGTCTTCTGATGCCAGGTGAAGAGCCATCGCTGCCCTGTGGTGGTAGAGACTCCTGTTGGCCCTGGGGGTTTCCCCTGCTGCTGGAAGCCAGGCCCTTGGAAACCTAAGCATGGAATTCTCTCCCATGGCCTGCTGGGCTTTCATATATTGAACTAGAGTCCCTCCCTGAGAGAAACCAAAGCATCCACCTTTTAGGAAAAGATATTTTCATGATTATAGATATTCCATTATGTTATTTCTCACACATGGTGAATGTGACGGTCGTAAAAGCTACTGGTGCTATGTTGAATGTATCGTTCACTTTACTTTAGCTACAAGTCACCTAATCCAGTGCTTGTGGAAAGTGTAAGGATCCTATTGAGTATAAACTTTTATTCCCACAATTAATGGGTAGCACAAAGATGTTGCATTCAAAATGGAAGTCGTTTCGCCCTTCAGCCGCTGATGGCAGGCCATTCTTTCATGGCAACAGGGGGATGTGAGAAGAGCGCCAGTTCTTTCTGCACTCCATGTCAATCACTACTCGATCTTCTTGGACCAAATGGCCACCAAAGTCTCTCCTGTCCCTCTGGTTGTATAAGTCACAAGGATTTTGTGAACTGACATTTGGAAGGTAGTAAGTTAAGAAATCAAGACAAAAAGGGTTTGAAATCACAAAATCCAGTTATAAATAGCTCCATTGCCTCCCAAGCACTTTAAGGGGATTAACTCATACATGATTATAAAATACTTTGACAAATGAAGTATCTTCCCAATGTTAATAATAATAATAATATAATAATAGTGGTGCAAGATGCTTCTTTTGCCTTTCACTGTTAATTACAGTAATTACATTTATTTTGCAGACACGATTTTCAGCAAGTTTTCATTTAAGGCTTGGCTTGTTACATCAAATCAGTTTTTATTTCTCCAGTATTCCTGGTGACAGTGAACACACTGCATTTTAAATGAGTGAGATAGTATTGTGGACATTCTTGTGTACTCAGGCTGGCACTGAAAATGGCTGAATCTTTCTGCAAGGAAATTTAATAACATGTGCCCAAACCTTTGACTTGAAGAACTCTGTCTCAAAAGCATGTCCCACACTGTTGAAAACTTTTCATGAAACGCTGCTTATCATCTTAAAGTTGGCTAATAGTTCAAAGTAACAGGATTAAATAATGAAACATCCTTCCACAGTAAATGATGTAGTTTGTTTAAAAGCATCTGATAATATGGAGAAATGCATAGAGTGTAAATAGGTGGAAATACAGTCAGAAGTGGAATATATAACATACGTTCCAGGGACATACATACACACGTGTGTGGATTTCATTTGTACACATGGTCAGAATATAAAAGGTGACAGACTAACGGAGATTCCATCAGAACTGGAGCTAGTGCATGTTGTGCTTGCTGCTAATAACAAAGCTGACCTTGTTTTTTTTTTTTTTTTTACTGTCACAGTTATTCTTGATTGTTTCCTTATTTGATGCAAAGGTGGATGAGAAAAATATATACAAATATACATGATGAAGATTTATTACCTGGTAGGGTATCTCGGAGCCAAGAGGAGAAGGAGAGGAGAGGAGAAGGCCTGTAACTCCAGCCTTGATTGGGAAGCAGCTGAGAAATGTCACTACTCTTCTAGGAAACCTTCTTAGGAGAAATAAATATTTATGTAGAAATGAAGTATTTACCCGCTTCGTGCAAAGGCATCTCCAGTTGTAATCATTTTGTCTGCTGGGGTGTCCTGCACAGTCCTGTCGCCAGCAAAAAGCTGTCCGTTTCCCTTGCTTTGCTGATCGTTATATTTAATGATGGTTGTGTCGTGCTCTGTGGTTATGCTTGCTTTGTTTTCTTTAATTTCTACTGGTGGCAATGAAGAATGTGGAGATTGAAAGAGCCTGTTTGTAGCCATCCCATGCCTCTGATTGTCGTGGTGCTACCTCAGGATCACACTGGTTACAGAGGCCATGGCTCAGCTACGAAGTGTGAACATCAAGTTGAATGGAAGTAGGAAGTAGTTGCAGGTGACCCATGCGAGTCACTGTCTTAAAGCATGGACCGGGAGCCGTGCTCGGGAGTGTGGAGAGGAACCTGTGTGCTCTGCAGGTCTTACGGTTCACAGATCCTGCTGCAGCACGCACTCTGCATCATGATGTGTGCTGAGTTCTCTGTGTGTTCATTAGTGGGGTCTCCATATTTCTTCCTGAGTGAACAGTACTGGCATCCCCCTTAGACAGGCAGTGAAGCTGAGAGCGCAGCTGCTGAGTCCTTGTTCACAGAGGAAACAGTGGAGGGACCAATTTGGACACCTCTAGTCTCTAGAACTCAGAGTTCGAGCTCTTTACTGAGGGATAAAGTTACCATTTTTTATTACCCATTTAGTTTAAATCATAATTCTGAGTGACACTGTAGAAATTATTATTATGATCAGTACAGTCAGCATTTTTCCCAGCCCCAAGGTGTGTGTTTTCAGGTACAAATTGGAAGAAATAAAGATATGAGGCTCAATTTTGCATGTTTGTGAAGTATAGTTCGGACAAACTTTATGTGGGTTGTTGCCTTTGAACTCTCTGTATTGGATACAGTGGTTGCCAGTATTCCCATGAACATTCCAGAAAAGGCAGGTTCCGTGAGGTTAATTAGCTTGGTTTGGTCACAGGTAAATGAGTGTTGGTTCAGAAACGCCAGCCCTGCCTCTGCCGACTCCAGGAATCCACACCGTTTTTGCTGCATCACAAGCCCTTTGGATTTTTCTAGAAAATTGCTCTGGACCTCTCCCTTGAAGAGCTTTTTTGACATGAAACTGACTTGTCCTTGAATCTTCTCATATTACCAAAGCTACTTGGCCTTTCTGAAACCAAGGGCTTTCTCTGAACAGCTTCTTTCTGGCGTCTGTGATTTCCTGAAATGAGTTCTATTAAATCTCTGAGCGTAACAGATTCACTGAGCATTTACGTCTCTGTCTCGGGCACTTCTTTTTCCTAAAATTGCCATTGCATTGTCAACTTAATAATTAAAGATTATTTCAGCTCTTACGGCCTTGTGTGTTGGAACAGAGGCAGATCCTGAATTGCCTTTGTGGGGACTGCTAGAAAAATAAGGAAGGAGAAGCCAGGGGAGGCGCAGTGGTTTAATCATCTCTGCCTCTTTGTAGAACTGAATATATTGTATCTGACCTGGAACAGGGAACAGTTAAGACAATAGAGGCAGCAGGAGCATTGCTCCTTAGCAGCAGTCTGCAGGCTCTGCAGGAGAGGAAGCCTGCACTTGGCCTTGCCCTTGCTTTGTGTGAGGTGTGGCTTGCCTATGGGTGTCCATACTCACTGTCCACAGCCAAGCCTGTGTTGCGGAAACCCAGGCCAGCCAAGTGGTGTCGGCTGGATTCCAGGAGGGAGCTTCGTACCAGCTTCCCCAGGGGAGGAAGGGACATTGTCATGGGTCTAGAGAAATGCTTCCCAAACAGGGAGAAGTTACCCAGAAGTAACGTTGAATGCATTCATTGAGAACATGATTCCCTCTAACTGGGCTCTGGGTGAGGTTCACTTTGGTGTAAACATGATGTTACTGCCTGTTGACCTCCTGCTCATTGCCAGTTGAATAAAAGAGAAGGAGAAGTAGGCTTGCAGTCTTTGACTGTCAGGCATGTCAACAGTGAACTTTCCTCCTTGATGGCTTTGAGTTTTGAGTTGCGGGGCTTGCTTTCAACAGTGGCTTCTGTAGTGTTAAGGCTCTCCTGTCTTGATGAATTGAACTGTTCTGCCCAGCAACCAGGCTGGACATTTGCAGAACCGCCAACATGGACAGCCACGTACACAGTATGGCCCCTTGGGAAGGAGGCCCAGAGGCAGCCGAGCCAGATGAGTCTCATTCCCTTTCTTACACTCACAGGGTGCCTTTTTTGTCTCCGACACGGCACGCTCATATTATAAAACTCACTCTGAAAAAGCCTGATGTTTAGTAGCTTTTGATTAACTCCCAGGGTTGAGTAACCATGGCTGCCTTCTAATTTCAGACCCAGTGCACCAGCCCAACAGTAGCCATACCCTGCTTCTTCCCCCCATTGCTTCCCTACCCACCCCTAATCCACTTTTCAGCTCTGGTTTTGCCTGTGCCGGGCACTTCCCATCAGTAGAATCATAATATTTAGTTGTTTTTCTGGCTTCTTTTGTGTAATTTATTTGCATGATGTTCCCAAGGTTCATTCATAATGAATCAGTACATTATTTCTTTTTATTGCCAAGTGATGTCACTCCTTTGGGTAGATACACAATACTAGGTTCATCCAGTCTTCCATTGGTGGCCATTTCACTGTTTTAACTATTATAAATAATTCTGCTAAGAATGTTTCTGCATAAGCTTTTATGTAAGTATGTATATTCGTGTCTTTTTCTCAAAAAAAATAAGTTATTCATTCATACAAATGGCAGAGTTACAGAGAGAAGACACAGAGAGATTTTCCTTTCACTAATTCTCTCACCACATGGTTGCATGACCAGAATTGACTGCAGCAGTACCCAGGAGCTTCAGCTAGGTCTCCCACATAGATTGCCCGGACTTGCATACTGGGCCTTCCTCTGCTGCTTTCCCCCAGGGCCGTTTGTAGAGAGCTGGATTGTAAGTGGTTCAGGGAGTACACAAACCAGCAGCCATATTGAGATGCCGACGTTGTGGGCAGCAGATTTACCTGTGCTAGCACAACACCAGCTCCCATACATTCTTGTGTGTGTATGCATAATTAGGAGTAGAATTACTCCTAGTTCAGCAGTGACAAGTTTACGTTTCATGTTTTTGAGGAGCTGCCAAAATGTTTGCCAAGGCAACTATGGCACTTTACAGTCCCACCAGTCACAGTTTAGGGTGCCAGCAGCTCCACATTCACCTCCATCCTTGTTGCTCCCTTTGTGATTTCAGCTACCCTAGTGGGTGTGAAATGGTATCTCATCGTGGTTTTGATTTGCATTTCCTCCAGGATTAATGATGTCTTGCATCTGAGCATCTTTGCACATACTTAATGGGCTATTTGTGTATCTTAAGAAATTGCTATGTGGATCCTTTGTACTACATTTAATTGGCTTGCTTGTGGTTTTATTGTTTTAGTTGTAAAAGATCTTCCTATGATGTGGTTACAAGTCCCTTAGAAGATACATGCTTTGCAACTATTGTCTCCTACCCTGGGAGTTATCTTTTTTCCTCTCTTTTCTTGTGATGCGCAGTCATTTTTCATCTTTTTTCTTAAGCAATTGCATATTTATTCCGTGTAGTTTCGGGGGACTGTGAGCCCAAGGAGCTGTTATAGAATGATCGGATTCTGGAGAGAGCCCTCTTTGTGGTTTACTGATGACTGTCTTAACTTGGTTTGTGCAGTGTCCTCTCAGGGCATACGTCAGAAAGATGACTTTCATTGTCAATTTGCTTGTTTGACTTCAGTAAGGTATACTTTGTCGGCTTCTGCTTTCCTTGGCTGTGCTTTCATGTAGAAGGTAGATTCTCCTTGCACACAGAGGGCCAAGTTTTCAGGAGAAAGACCCTGGCTCCAGGAAGGTTGATTGGGTAACACGGACTTCGAAGGATGAACAAGGATTTTCTGCCAGAGGGGAGGAAGAGTCTGTGGAGGGGGACCAGCGCAAGCAGCAGCACGGCTGTGTGGCAAGCTTGGTGTGTCGGTGCGTGTATAAGGAGCTTGGTCCACCGAATGCTAAGTGTTGCTGCCCATGGCTTGTTAAGTCATCCCTCCACTGTGTGGAAGATGGAAAGCATGCCCCATCTGCCCAAGTGGGGCCAGTTAAATGGGAGAATTTGGTGTCTGCAGACCATGGGTTACAGAGAAAATTTGCAGTGTCATCTGCTTCTTTGATTATTTTATTCATTTTATCTCTTGTGAGCACCTGTTACATGTGCAGCAATTTGACTTTAGGCCTCGACTCATCCATTGCAATAGCATCCCTTGACCTCGCCCTGAACGCCATGTATCCAGTCCTCATTAGAAACTCACCATCTTCCTTCAGCATCCCTTATCGTATCCCTGGTCCTGAAGACAGCCCACCCAGCCACCCAGGAAGCTCAGTGCCAATGCCTCCCTCTCCCTCTCCCTTTCTTTTCCATGACTAAGCTCTATTCTGAAATCCTGCATTGAGGTTCCTTAGTGCTCTTCCTGGGACTGTGTTTTAATTGGGTCCTCATTTCACATCTACCTAGTCTGATCATCTCCTAATCAACATGTCCACACCTATTCCCCTAGTCTGTCCACCGTCTTCCTCCTCCCTTCTGTCCATTGAATCCATTGCTTCAACTCTTGCTACATTCCAGCCACTGAGCTACCACTCTTGGGGCCATCCACTTGGACATATCTGACTTGACTCTTGACTTAGCTTGAGCTCGCAGGCAAGTGGTGTTGTAGGCAAAGAAACAAGGAATCCTGGCGTGAGAATAGGCAATGTCATACATGGTGCTTCTGTGAAGACGTGGGTGATCAGCAAAGGATTCTTGGAGCAAATGGACACAGGCCCAGGATCTGAAGGCAAGGTAGAGAATGGCTGTGTGTAGAATGCGGAAGTGTAGGGCAGACAGGACAGTGGGTTCTCTGAGTGCAGAGCGATGATCTCCAGCATCTGTTTCATGACGTGGCGTATAGGGTGTGCTCAGCAGGTATCAGCCGAGTGGACAAACACAAAAGGGTTTCCTGCAGTGCAAACTGAGTGTGCAGAGGCCCACAATGGAGAGACAAGAGCAGATGTGGAAAACTGAAGGACGATCTGCGGTTGGACACTGCAGAAAGATGGTTTACCTGTACAGTAAGGTCATCTTACAACAAAGCTCAGGTTGGTGACCCAGGCATTGTGTGGCATGAGGGTTAAGTGGCTATGTCTGGTGTTGGCGTCCCATGTCAAAATGCCTCTGGGAGGCTTCTGTCACTTCTGGTTCAGCATCCTTGGGTTCTTTACCGGAGTTCCTGGAATTTACCGGAGTTCCAGAAACCCTTACCGGAGTTCCTGACTGCAGGCATTTAGGAGTAAATGTGCAGTAAAGAGTGATCCCCCGGTCTCCTTGTATGCATCTCTGTCACTCTGCCTTTCACATCAAAAATAATCGTAAGAAAATTTATTTAAAGTTTAATTTTGGTACCAGAAATGTTTAAACCCAGGTATTTTTTTTCTCCCCATCATGTGCATTGTGAACGCCCTGCAGACCAGGAGGCCAGGGCTGGGCAGCGAGCCAGATGCCAGGTTTCATGCCCGGCTTGGGATGGGTGTTGTTGCCAAGGCATCATCCCTTCTCTGAAGGGCTAATCTGGGGTGCCATACCTTCCCTCCTTCTCTGTTTTCACATCCTTCACGGGAAGTGATGCTCTGGGAATGTGCTGGGGTGACTTCCCCTGTGGCTGGCCCTGCCTTGGGAACTGGGAAGAGGTGGTTCTGCAGTCTGTGACTGAACCGTCTTAACCTCCCCTGATGTTGCCTCCTCTCACCCCATAGGCGGAACCCTCTCCACTTCCACCTCATCGCAGACTCCATCGCAGAACAGATCCTGGCCACACTCTTCCAGACCTGGATGGTGCCTGCCGTGCGAGTGGACTTCTACAATGCTGATGAACTGAAGGTACGGGCAGGAGGGAGAGGGGCTCCTCTTGTCAGCCGGAAGCTTTCCGTGTGTGTGTGTGTGTGTGTGGCTTAGTAAATGATAGTATGGGCAGTGACCTCAGTCTAACTGGCCAAGGTCTACCTAAGGCTTTTTGCTTTCAGTTTCTTACGGGAAGTGTCAACGTCACCACGCCATTAGCACAGAGTCCACATTGGTCCATGCAATCCACATTGGTCCATGCCACCGAGGTTTCCTATAGAGACTGGAAAGTGTTGGACTGATCCCTATCGGAAAGTGACATGCACTGCTGTTCTCTAGGGAATTCTGTTGCTCCGTCAGATCTGAGTCCAGTGGACCTGGGTTTGATTTGATGTGCTGCCATTTATTGGTCATTAGACACAAAGCAGTTGTCCTACCTATGCAGAACCTGTTTTCTCACTAGAAAGGAAAAGATTAGTACCCACCCCATGGAGGAGCCAAGAGGCTCCAATGTCCTTTAAAAAGACTGAGCTGAATATTCTGGTGGGCTGGACAATTTCCACCAAAGCAAACTCATTTGGTTAGCTCACTCCCTTGTATACCGCTTCTCATTTAGGCTCAACTGGCTGGCATGAGGGCTGAGAGTCGTCGCTGATTAATGAGGCCTGCCGTTTGCCTGTTTCCACTCTTACCTCCGGCCATCCTTGCAAATTTTCCCGGTTTCTTAACTCTAGTAATGGAGAGCACCCAGTTACCTTTGCTGTTTCTTCTGGGCTTGTGTCTCTGCTCACTCTGTTCCTTCTGTCTCCTACACCCTTCCAATCTGTGCCATCTGAGACCTGCCCGACCTCAAGGACTTAGCTATGTTGCCTTTTGCTGGGGAAGAGTAACTAATTTTCTGTTGTTGGTTATACCTACTGGAACCCTCTTTGTGGACTGGGGGAAGAATCAGCTTATTTTCCTCTTTTCTGTGTGTCTTGTGCCTACTAGGTGCCCTGTGATGGCTCTCACTAGAGAATGTGAAACTTTGCAGAAATACGTTGATGTTCTCCCTCCAGTCACCTGGGGAAGGTCCAAAAACCTAGGCATGAGGCTGATGTTCGCAAATCGCTTCTTCCAAACATCATGAAGTCATTATCTTTCCATTTCAGAGCTATAACGTTGCAAATAGATCACAGCAATGTCGGCCGGAGTTTCTGATTTTCATGTATCTCAAGCTCCGAGGTTTGACGGAGATGCTCAGAATTTAGCATTTGGGGATTGTCGTGGCAGTTTGCATGCCATTGCAATCTATTCTGAGCTAAAATTGATTAACACTCTTAAAAAGGGGAAAACAAAATTGAGCAAATTGCTGCACTAATTAAGGTGAAAGCCAGCCACTCGGTCTCCTATGGCCTTCGCACCGACACCGTGGGGGAGGAACAACGGGAGGGGAGGAAGGCAGCTGGCACAGAGGGTGCCTCTGTAGCACTCTTCATCTGCTTTTCTTCCAAGTTCAAGTCCCATCAGCTCTCAGATGGATGCAGACCACCACGTGAGCATGTCAGGAAGGGATGCAGTAAAGTCGCTTGTGAGAGGGCCCAGCAGTGCCTGTAACAGCAGCTTCTTGAAAATGCACCTCTTTCTCTCCTGTGTGTAGTGAAGACCATGTGTACCCTAAAATGCTGCTGGTTGGGTGGTCTGGTTTGAGATCCACCCGCACTGTGGAGGGTGGAGGGTGGAGGAAAGAGTCCCAGGCTATAACCTACCTTGAGTGGCCCAGGGCTTCCACGAGGTCATAGCAGAAAGAAGGCAAAGAGGAAGACATGCTGTCCATTATTTGATATATTGGATTTTTATTTTTTAAAGGTGCTTTAGTTTGAGAAATTACCCCTTTTAAAGGGTTGAAGTCTGCAAAATACTATTGTCTCCCTCACTATGCCCTACTTCTCAACCTCTACTACTGGCCAACCCTTGCAAGAGCCTGAATCCCTACCTCTCGCTTCCCTGCTGGTTCAAAGTCTGTCTCCTATTAGGCCTGTGTCCCCTGCAGTCAGAGGCTGAAGCATTTTATAAAATGTCCGTTTTCCAGCAACATGACAGCAACAGTAAGAACGTGTAGCAGTGATCGTGTGTAAGATCCAGAGCCACAACCCCAGCCTGTGATCCTCCTGCTCCCTGCAGCCTGGCCCACTCCTGCTGGCTTGTCACCACCCTCCATGCCCCCATCCACTCATTTGCCCATACAGAAGTGAGAGTTCCCCTGCACTGGTGTCTGGACCTCCCCTGCCTCTGGCCGTGCGCACCCTGGTGTTTGCAGTTCAAGTTTGGCCAGGCTGCTGTAGCCTGGACACTTGGTTCCCCAGAGAGCAAAGCTGCTATAGGAAACAGGATGATTCAAGTAGCCGTTCTGGGGCAGGCATGCCCTGTGGGCCCAAACGAGCTCTTCCCTATTTTCAATTTATTAATAAGAATGATAAAGTTGAAGGGGAGAAGGGTTGTCAGGTAGCTTGTCCACGTGCCTTCGCTCCAGGAAGCTCACAAAGTGACGGCTTCTGCGTACAGGGCTCCAGGGAGTGGCTACGTACAGCTGTCAGAAGGGACATCTCTGAGTTGCTCCTCTCGGCCCTGATTACGTCTGAGGAATGGGGAACTGGAAATGCGTAAGGGTTTGGGTCCTGATTGAAAACAGACTGAGGAAAATCCACACTGAGCTGGGCCCCTCCTCTCCATCGTGCCTCATTAGCATGAATTTGCAAATAGGGATCAGGTGCATTACCTGTCCCTGTGGCCTGGGAACCACTGTATGCCTCACTGACTTCCAGGCTCCAAGCGTTCAGATCAGCAGGCCGCAGGTCCTGAGGGATGCGTGGAGGGTCTCTCCTCCCCACTCGGTGTGTGTCACCCCATGTGTCAGCTGCAGAGCTAAGTTAGTGGAGTGCTTATGGCTGGTGGTGTGTCTCACTGGCTTCTCTTAGCTGCACCGCTTGGGGTTGAGAGAGGTGTGTTCATCCACAAGTCACACATCGTTCACACGCAGGCTTGGAGTTGCCCAAGATGCACAGGCCTGACGCACACCTAGGCTGATCGTTGATTTGTGGCTTTAAAATGAAGTCAGAGATATGGGATCGTGGAATTTAGTGGGTTGCCCTGTGACTTGGGGTTCCCCCCACAGCGATGTGTGCCAACATCTGACACTTAGAATGCACTGACATGGTTTGTGTTCAGGGGTGGGGAATGCCTGGTCCATAGTCCTTATAAGGTTGGGGAAATCATTGGGTCTGGCCCTACCAAGGCAACCACAGGCAAGACTCAAAATTCAACCTAATTTTCAAGTTGCTAATTTTATACAGTCCGTGAGTGATGTGATAAATATGCAAATGGCCCATGGAAGAAATAAAAGGTTCCTCACCCCAGTGTGTGGCTGTCTCATGCATGCTCACAGCTGTGTTAAGTTGGTCCTGGTTTTGACATGTTATACAGATAAGGAAACGGAGACTTAGGACATCCAACAACTAATTCCAGATTATGCAGCGGGCAGATCGCAGAATCATCCAGAGCTGTCTGACTCATAATCCATGCCCTTACTCGTGGGATCTGTGCCCTCACTGATGTCCAGTCCGGAGTCCTCTGAGCTCTCGCTGGTGTGCCCAACGAGAATGCTTCAGATGAAGAAATGCATTCAGTGTAAAGCAGAGACTGCCAGGAACAGAGCTTCCTGGGATGGCCGTGGGGAAGCACTGTGGTTGCTGCTGGGGTCTGAGCTGGCCCTGCCCCTCGCAGGCAAGGTCCCTGCACTAACCACCAAGCTGGCACAGAGCGTGCTGTAAAAACGGCAAAGCACCTCTTACTGGTTTGCAGATCCCTGCCCATTTCCCCACCTTTGATCCTGCCTCTTCTCTCTCAGAAAGTCATCGCTTGGGACCCCACTCCCACCCCTCACCCCCATCATCCAGTGCAGGGGAGCCCAGATTCATGACAGCAATAGCCGGGGCAGTGGTTGATTGAACATCTGCCCGCCTAGCTCGGAGCCTGCCTTCATCTCCTGTGTTGTCTCGGCTTCCTGCTCCAGACCCACAGCAGAAAGATTATGAAGTGGGATTCAGGACTGTAGTGACGGAAAATATTGATGGTTGACTTTAAAAACTGGCTTCCTCTTCATCCCTAATTGCCTTTGTGGTGGTCTCTGTGGCGTGAAGCAGCAGCGCTCTTCACTAGAACTCCCTGGCAGGCAGACTTCTATTGTTCCTCTCACTGAGGTTGTGTGGAGAGGGGAGTAGCACCTGCCTGCTTTGCAGCTTTTCTAGGGAGAGACAACCTGGCAGCAGGGTGTCTTCCATGAGGAGGCTGTGCAGAGGACATGAGGCCTCCATGTCTTAGGGTCATAGGGGAAGGCTTGCATTGGTCGGTTGACACCTAGAGGAGCTGTTGAGAAAGCAGCCCAGGTTCTCACGTAGGATTCCAACGCAGACCTTTCCCAGCCTTGGGGATGGGATTTCTGGTTGCTAGATCTAGGTTCTAGAAGGGGGAGGAGAGGGAACAGACACTTGCCAAAGGCTGAACTTAAGCTGCTGTGCTCAGATAATGCCCAGGCAGCTGGCACAGTATCAGCGAGACTGAGCCATAGAGGACACCACAAAACTGGACTGTCTCTGGGAGGGTTATGGTCTGCTGAGACGTGAAGTCGGCTGTGTGTGGCTTTCATCATCCAGCTGACCGAGATGGTCACATCCAGAGCACTTGGTAGCTGTGGCTGCCCTGTCCAGGGGAAGATGAGAAGCAGTCACGAGTTGGAATGGGCAGCACTGGACATACAGCAGGTCCTAGGCTGTGTCCTTCTGTTGCCCTCACACAACTACCTCTCGCCTATGTGTTGGAATTGCCCTCTTGCATCCTTCTTCTGACAGATCTACAAGCCCGCATGGTCACCCCCATCTGACATGCCCATGTCACCAACCTCTTCTCCTTAGATACTCAGTGCCGTCTGCCTACTGCAGGATATACAATTTGACTTGGTCTCCAAATGCCTGGATGGGCTCATGTCTTCTCTCTTCAGTCTT